TACGTGCATTCTCTCACAAAGCACAGGGCTAGACTTCCAGCCAAGGTGGGGGGGCGTCGCTGCACTCCCTCTGGGCTGTTTCTCACCGTTGTCTTGGGAGGACAAGGCAGCACAAGGGCGTTGGAGCTCTGTGAGCTGCGGGCTTTGCCCCGGGGACGTCTCTGCCGCGGACCTCGCTGGGCATCAGCTCCCAGCTGCTGGTGCTCCCGCCTCGCCTCTGGAGCGCCATCGCAGGGGGCTGAGGCCATTTGCAGGAAGCACCAAGAGGAACGTCTTGTGTTTTCAACCACAGTTCAGCAATGGTGCTGTTTATTGGCCTCTTGAGAAACCCTGTTCTTGGATCTCCATCATAGCAATTAATTGATTCTTTTCCCCTGTGCTTATAAAAAAGCAGAAAAGCTTTGCAAGGAAATTAAAAAAAAAAAAAAAGACACCTTAGTTGACTGTTAGAAATACAAGGAAAGATTTCCCATTAAAAAGGGCTTTTGGAAGGGATGCTGCATTTTGTGGCTCGTTAGGTAAGTAAACATGTGGCCTGAATAGCACATAACCACATGTGGGAGTCCAAAGCCCTGGCCGTGGCCTTCCAGGCCTCCGCGATCTCGCCCTTCCAGCTCCGCACCCCTCTCATGCTCTCCTCTCCGATCACTCCAGCTGCATGGGGCTCCTTGTTTCTTCAACAGGTCAAGGGGACACAGTGGCAGGGCCGTTGCACTTCTCGTTCCCAATGTAGGGGGCGCTCTGCCTCCCAGTAACGGCATGGATCGATCTCTCTCTCTCTCTCTCTCTCACTCACACACACACACACACACACACACCTCACCCCCCCACCCCCACTCCTCACTGACCTACCAAACTTTGTTTTTCCTTGTGGCACATGTGACCACATGAATCATACAATATGCGTGTGTTGCAGTTGTAGGTGGTAGTGGTGGTGGAGGGGGAGAATACGGGGACTGGGGAACGTAAGCCCCACGGGAGCGGAGACTTGGCTGGTTAACCTCGCCACTCTGTTCCAGCCTCTCAGACAGCCAGGTTTGCAACAACGATTATTGAATGAGCAAGCGAAAGAATAAGTGATCAGTTTGACGGAAGCAGCCTCTTGGGTAACTTTCCGTGGCCATTTGTAGGATGAAGGAGAATAGCTACCCAGCCTCCTGCTCAGGCGGCGTTTTCCCTTCCATCCGGATAGATCCCTGCAGTTTTCATTCTGTATGAACAGACAGGCACCTTGCCTCCTCTGGCAGCTGCCCAGGTGGACAGGCTCTGTCGTGCTTTGTGTATAGCAGATGCCCGCGGAGCAGGGCATGGAACTCAGGTCTCAAGTCAGGCTGGTTGTCAAGGTGCGAACCTTGTATTGGGTGTATTATAGGGAAGGCAAGCCTGGGAGTGGGCTTTTAGGGATGGAAGTACCACCTTTGTGTTGTTGGCATTGCCTGTTTTTAAACCCTTTTTAAAAACAGAGATAGAATGGACATATCTCATTGTATTAGGTGTTTTAGATGTATAATATTCAATATTTGAATACATTATGAAATGATCACCACAATAGGTCTACTTAGGATTCATCCCCACACATAGTTACAGAAGTTGTGTTCTTGAGAAGTTTTAGGATCTACTCTCTGGGCAACTGTTATATGCACCATCCAGCATTATTAACCAGAACCATCGCATCCCCAGGGTTTGTTTATTTCCTGACTGGAAGCTTGTACCTTTGCCTCCCTTCACCTATTCCTCCCGCCCCAGCCCTTCCTGGCCTCTGATAAACCCCCGATCTGTTCTCTGTATCCATGAGCTCAGGGGTGTTTTTTTTTGTTTGCTTGTTTTTGTTTCATAGATTCATATGTAAGTAAGAGCATATGGTATTGGTCCTTTCCTGTCTGACTTATTTCACTGAACATAATGGCCTCAAGGTCCATCCATGTTGTAGAAAATGGCAAGATTTCCTTCCTTTTTACCAGCTGCATACTATTCCAGCAATATCTATTCTCACACATTAGTAAACCCTTTATGATCTTTCTAATGAACTCTGAATTTATAATTTGCCTTGGCCTCTGCTTTTCCTCTTTCTATTTTGATTTTTCTTTTTAGCTGCTCATTGATGTGTCTGCCAGAGGTCAGCTTGGGAAGAGAGGGAAACCTGACCATTATCTTCAGGTGCTGTTTCGATACCTGAAGTGGCAGCCCCACCCTGCCCTCCTGTGTGGGTGTTTTCTGGACCGTGCAGCAAGGTTATGTCTCTTCTGACTACCTTGTAGTTTCACTTCACCCAGGACTGAATGCTTTTGGTTTCATTCCTCAGCATTCACTACATAACACTAGAGTTTTCATTCCTCTGCTTGAAGAAAGGGTGTGATGGTATATGATGGATGCACATTCCAACATGCCAGGTGGTGTTCCATTTTATACTTCGTCATTTCTCTTGCCAGTTGTCAAAAATATTTGAGCTTTAGAGATTTGGGATCCATCCGCTTGGAAAAAGAGAGCTAACCATTTATTTCTCTCAGATCGCTTTACCCAAGTCCACGTGGATGGGACCTGGCTTCCTTCTCCATTCTATCAACTTCTCTCTTTCTTAGGACTTCTGAGACTTTCCATACGCCACTCCTAAAATATAAAACACTCGATAAAATATCTTACCATTTACCCTTGTGCAGTTTCTCGGCCTCTTTATCTTTGATCACTTTTGTAAATGCTTCTGTTTTTCCTTTAAAAAAAAAAAATAACATACGTGTTGTGCCCAGCTAAGTACTTTTTTCATGTCCTGGGTATTTACAACATTATGTTATATACAACTAAAGGATAATTAGGGATTTGGGGTCAGGTTTTAATTCACAGAAATGGAATAAAATTATTGTATGCTTTTAGGAGCAGTAAAATCATTATTGCTACTCAGTCTGTAGAGAGTGGCTAACATTACAAGGTTTATAGCTTTTTGATCAAAACAGAGCCCATATCTGTAGTTCAGTCAAACCAATCAGCGCAAATTATGCGCATAAAAAGCATTTTACTCTGGTTTCAGTTTATTTTCTCCGTGGTGCTTGCTCTGGAACTGTGAGCAGGTCGTTACCTACTGACCTGGGTCTTTGCTTAAGGCGTGGAACCAGTTACTCCTGAAGGAATGCGAGTCTCGCTGGTCTCGGGCCTGTTCCAGGAGAAACCTGATAGCATGACTGCCATAATCTGGTTAATCAATGGTGAATACAGTTAATAAGTGTGTAATTTTTATTTTATCGGCTAGACGTATCTTTCAAGTGATTTATTTTTTCCTCTATGGAAAAAGTGGTTCATGCTTAAAATTAAGTTTTTATATTGAGGTCCCACCAAACTAATTAAACATTACCCTAAATAACACTTAAAACATTGGATTTTATTAAAACATGTTCATGTGTATATATGTATATATATATATATTTTTTTTAGAAATTTTGGTGCTGTTTTCTCTCAGAATATGTACAATCAAAATCTCTTCTTAGAATTCTATATTTAAAGTTTGGATCCCTAAAGTCATATATATTGTATTGTTTTTTCATAGTCTCTTATTATTTGAGACTATTCAATGTAATTTGAACAATAAACTATTTAGAAATAATTTACCATTTGATAGACTTTGGAGGCTTCACTGCCACTGTTTAGGCAGGAAATCCTCTGAGGCCTTGTCACAGCACAAGTGGCCATTTATCTCTTTATGTTTTTTGTGTTTTTTATAAAATATTTATTTTTTGCATTACGCTTTGTCTGTATAATCAGCCTGCCACTGGAGACTGTAAGGTGTTTAACATCAGACACTTGGATATACACTGAGCGTACAGTTGGCCAGTAGCCAGGGCCCAAGGAGTGTTTGCTCAGTGACTGATGGATGTGAAATAAAGTTAGACATATAAAACAAGTTAGCCAATAGTAAAGCCTGCATTCATTGACCCTCTATAAATGAATTTACCAGAATATTTAAATAACTAATAGGGGACCAAAGGTCTAAAGATGGCAACTTCCGGAGGAGCACTTAGGTGCATGTGACTGGGCTGTCGATGCTTTGGAAACACGTTTTTCCACCTAGAAGCTTTCAACTGCATCCAGAGCAAAAGGGGTTCTTAAAAATTATAATGATTTAAGTTGGGGATTCTGATAGCACCTTAAGTAAGAGCCTTAGAAGAGAGATGAGGGTATGAATTGGCAGTCAAGGCCGAGTATATCTTAAAACTAAGTCAAGGGCTGTGCCCACGGAGCTAAGGAAGCGAGTGGCAGAAAGTCTAATCAGAAAGCGCAGTGAACGTCGGGAGGACATCCCGGGGTGCATTAGGAAGAAGTGGGCTGGAGCGTTGCCTTACAGAGCCAGCAATTACAATCAGCAGGTGGATTTGACATTCTGCCTGATCCAGCCCCTGCCGTTCCAGCTCTGCCTGAAGGCACCCTCCTCCCGGCCCGCCCTGACCTTTCCCTTCTTTCAATACTCACTGTCCTCACCCCCGGTGTCTCACCACTCCACTGTCCCTGTCCCTGGTTGGAATCCTGGACCCCCTCATTTTGAGCTGTGTCGTCTTGGGCAAGTTACTTAACCTCTCTGTATTTTGCTGTCCTCCTCTATAAAATGGGTGAATAACGGGATCTGTGTTTTCTGACTGTCATGATTTTTGGGTGAGGTCATCTCGCGAGGCGCTTGGCCCGCAGTCTGAACCGTGTGGGCGCCGTCATTGCCATCAGTCACGCCTGTCCCTGTCCCCCTCACCTTTGTTGCCTGGATGGGAGCTGGCCCCCGGGGAGTGCAGCGCTGCCTGCCGCTGGGGTTCCTGGCTTCTCTGCAGGGAAGTCCGCTGCTGGTCCCAAGCGCCTTCTCGGTAGCGTCGTCACTCTGCCCATACTCCTGGAGCCTCTTCTCTCGCCCGGCCACCCCGTGGAATGTTCCGCCACTGCTCGCAGAGCTGTAATGCGTGTTTTCTAGGAAACACTGTCCCTCGTCTCTGCTCTTCAGCTCTCACTCTCTGGTCTGCTTCTCCTGACAGCTGGCGAACTTCCCCCGACTCTGCGAGGCGACGGAGAGGATCGTGGCTCACCACATCCGCGAGCGGGAAGGGAAGACCAAGGACCAGGTGAGGGCCGGCCTCCGGGGCAGGGTCCTCGAGCGCAGTGGAGAGGCCCCGGGGAGGCCGGGGGTCTGCGTCTCTCGGCCCTCCCTCGCGGGAAGGAAATGGCTGAGAACACAACCGCACAGGTTGATTTTTACTCCTTTATAAACTTTATTCATGTGTTGCTATACTAACATCTCGTGTATGTCAAGAATATAAACAAATACAAAGACTTGAGATGGATGGGATTTGAAACGCGGCGAAGGGAGTCGCGTTATCCCCCTTCGGTGCCCCCTGGCCATCATGTGCACCCCTCGCTTGCACTGAGCCCTTTGAAAACCACCGATCCAGAAACAAAGCACATTGCTTCTTTCAGACAGGGTTTTTAACAACCTTTTAATGGGCCCACAGGTGGGTGCCAGGGTAGCCATACATTTCTGAAATCTTATGCAAAAGGTTCGGCATTGTGATTTTCTTTCTCTGAGGATAATGGACAAAGCTATTCATCAGCTTACCCAGGAACCTTTCACTGGAAATTAAAAACTTGTAAGAACAGCTCTTTTACACATTTCTAACTATTTTGTAATAGTATATGGTTCATAAGGAGTAACCTTGAAATTGCCTTCCAGTCCTCTGTGAATCCAAAAGATTATTTTCAAGGGAAATAACTCACTGAAAACAGTGAAGGACCACATGAAGACAACAGCTTCGTAAACTTAGGTGGAGGTTTCCTTGGTTCTCCGTAAGACACTTGAATGGGAAACGCGAAGGTTTCCAGGTGCCCTGCGGTGCCAGGACACGGCTGTCAGCGACAGCGGGGAGGGACCCTGCCCTCGGGCCGTGTGTTCTCCACAGTCACCGCGTGTCCTGGTCCAGTCATGCTCAGGACTGTTGTTTTCTCACGTACAGCGCTGGCATGCCGGCCTATGTGAGGATCCCTGAAGTCCCCAAAAGTTAGGATTCAAGATTCCGTGGTCCTTGGGTGATTTGGAAAGGAGGAGAGAGAAGACAGGGCAGAGGGGGAGGGCAGCGTAGAAGCGAGAGACGGAGACAGACCACAGGGAGAGACGCGCACATGCAGCGGAGGGCGTGCTGGGGGGAGGCGAGAGGGTGGGGTGGAGGGGACCGAGTGGAGAGCCGGGGCGGGGTGGGGAGAGTCCCCAGGCGCTGGGGTGTTGCTCAGTGACTCCCGGGTTCATGCCACTTCGTTTTATCATCGTGCTTTGGAAGTTAATGAACCATTATTCATGGTTTTCACTTGTTTTCCAACTTTCACACCCTTGGAGAGCCACAAGTGCAGGAACAGACAAATTGCTGTTAACTCATGAGCAAGTGCAACCCAGCCTCGGGTCAGATATGTGACCCTGAGGCCTGAGGTCCCCCACTTGTAATGGCGGGGCTGCTGCTGGGCCAAGGACACTTACCTCCTGGTGTCCTCTGTACTCCTGACCTTAAGTCAATAACATGACCATTTAAACTTAGCATCTTTATTCTAGAAAATTTAAATGGTAATATGTCCTACTTAGCTCTTCCCTGAGAAAACAGCATTGAGGGCAAAACAGTATCATTATGATCTTTGTGTCCCTCTCTGAGTCATTAATGTCTGCATGTTTCACTGTGGCCTCGTTAGCATTGCAGGCTCCGAGTTCCAAGGGCCTGAGCTCGAATCCAGCTTTCCCTTTTACTTTCTGTGTAAATGAACAAGTTAGTCCCTTCCTTGTCTTCAAGTGGGATAATGATGGTAGTTGACTTGCAGGCACTTGGTGAGGATGGAGTGAAGGGACCCAAATGTGGCTCTAGTTCGTTGGTCATTTTGGTCGTTTTTGCTTGAGTGCGGTGACACCCAGCAGGTGTGGGAAAGAATTACCTTTGCTCAGTTCAAGGGAAGTGGTCGCCCATCTGTGGCTCCGACATGCTGGGTGGTTGACTCCCCAGGAGGGAGACCAGAGGCGGGGCGGTGTCTCCTCCTCGGGGACCAGCTCAGTGGCTCGAGGACGCTGGTCCCCAGTGCCTCCAGCACGGACCACCGTGGCCGAGGGAACACGTCTGTCTGCCCAGGCCTCACCGCTGGGGTCTGAGCCCCGCCCTCCGGGCTCCGGGGGCCACATGCCCTCTGAAGTCGCCGGTCAGAGTGCCCGCTGTCCTAGGGCCTCTGTGCCAGAACGTTGGGGGTGTTTTGCAGCTTTTAAATGCAGTTGTTACCAACTTCTGGAAGCTTTGTGGGAAGAAAAATTATTCAAAATTAAAAATAGGGAAACCCATAAATCTATTTGTGAAATTTTTTTCTTCAACAAAGGTCTTTTGAGTGTCTGCGTGTGCCTGTGAGTATGCCAGGCGCTGCCAACACGAAACGACACGCCGCCGCGGCCGGTGCTGCAGGCGACAACTGCTACCGGGGTGGCTCTCCTCCTCCGCCGCCCGACAGTCAATAACTGTGGGCGAGAAGGGCAGGGAGGAACTCTGGGAAAGTGAAAAAATGAGGAAAAAATGTACTCTTTCCCTTTTCATCCCCCATATGTGACTTGGCTGTCTTCCCAGGATGAACACAGACTCCCAGTTTCCAGGAATATGAATGAGAACAGCCGTAGTTTTTCTTTTTTCCTGCACTGCGGGCCAAGTTAATGTGCGAGAACGTCCAAGACGTTCAGGACAGCCCTTGGCAATGGTGAAAATTATGTAGATATTTTGCTCTTTACAGTGGTAACAATTTTCTTGTGCTTCAGTATTATGGTTTATTCATACAAACTCCTGGCCAAATGGGCTTGGGAGGGTAACATTTAACAGAACCTGGCTTCATTACGGGGAGAATAGCGATAATACCACAGATCATCCAATAACAATCGCTCTTCCTGTCTCTTCAGTTTCTTCATTAAGAAAAGAAACAAAACTATCTCATGATATGAAACTTCTTCCCACCAGTGTGATGGTATTGGCCCAATCGTGCCTGTGCCTCATATGGTTGGTGGTGTGGGGGAGTTTGGGGAGGACCCATTTACTCTTCTCTGGCAGGTCCTCTTGGGACTTAGAGCGAGATTTGGTGGGGTGACCAGATAAGATCCTTCTGGGAACAAAGTAGGGGACGAGACAAATGGGACGCCAGCCTCCATGAGGCTGGACATCCTGCGGGGAAGTAAGACAGCAAACAGAATAGACAAACGATTGGTTATATCGGAAATAAACACCACAAATACAAAGGATAGGGTGCAGTGTATGTCAAATCGGACATATTGGCTCCATGAGAGTCACAACAGGATCCTACCTGGTGCGGGTGGGGGCGTGGGGTGGGAATCATGGGAGGAGCCTTCCCTAAGAAAGTGCCCACAGGGGAGTGATACGTAGACCAGGCCAGCGAGCTGTTTGCAAGGGTGCTGTGAGCCGCTCCAATGTCACCTTCAGCGTAGGGAGGCAACGTGAAAATACTCACTGTGGCCATTAGAGACTCATTCGACAATGTTGAAGGGCAGAGCTCTGGAGGTGCACAAGCAGGGAATCTCAAGTATTTTTTCCCCCTGTCAACAAGTCTCAGCATTCTAGGAAGACGGGTCCTGTTGGGAGAGCAAAGAGGAGACTCGGGAAGGGGAGCTCAGTTTCGAGTAGTTCCGGGAGAAAGCCTTGTATCTCCCGCCTCTGGTCGCCCCAACTCTCTTCTTGTTCTGAGTCTCTTTGTCTGCCAGTGATGACTATTTTCCACAGAAGGACCTTCCAGATCTTGGACTCAGAGTTTATAAGTATCTTGTGATCAATGCCTGTTCATATTTACTGGAACATGTATTCAGCTCATGCCTTGACAAATCTTGGTGGGAGTCACATGGTATTCCAGGCTCTGTTCCAGGCCCTGAGATAGCGCAGTGACTACGGCAGGTGGGGGCCGCGTAATTGACTGGTAAAAACTTACTATGTCAGCCAGTGGCAGTGCCACAAAAGAAAGGAAGTTAGAGCCACAGGACTGAGGGTAGGAAGGGTGCTAATTGAGGCAGAACAGGCTGGGAGGGTCCTCGATGGGTGATGTTAGCAGAAAGCTGCCTGAAGTTTCGCTTTGACAGTGAAGCTTACTCTTCTCAGGAAGCCTTTTGTTTATTTGCAGATTACCTCTTTGAGTTGGTCAGTGAGATGCTCTCCAGCTTGCTCAGAGGGACCTTAACGAGATAGAAGAGGGGAGAAAAAACAGGCGGTGATGTTGCTGTCCCCGCAGCATACCGTATGGCATCTGTGGGAGCAGGAAGCTCCGAGGGCCCCTCACTGCCTTCTTGCCATGTGTCCGGCTTTTGAATGTTATGCCTACATTTCAGAGGAACGGAATAATTTGAGGTTCTGTGTTTAGTTGGCCAAGGGCGAGTGCACACCCAGCAACTGGTATGCCGTTGTCTTCTTGTGGGCATCAGACTTCTCATGTAGATGCTCAATTTCTAAACTTAGAGTAAAAACTGTGAGCCTAATGAAAAAAAAAATGAATGCACCTTTTCATTCTACCCGAAGCATCCTTTAAAATTTCAGTGAAGATAATCTGTAGGCACTTGCTGCCTTGAGCGTTTGAGAATATTTAAGATGGGTTTCACTGAAGTGCTTCTCTTTGACTTACAGGTGCTGCTGTTGATTGACATCCAAGTCTCCTACATCAACACCAACCATGAAGACTTCATTGGCTTTGCCAAGTAGGTGAAATGCTTGGTTGCCGCCCGCGTTCCCCCTGCTGGTTTGCTAGGACACACGCTGCACACGTCTGCAGCCCCACTGCCTGGGAGGGTGCCCTCTGTGCCAAGGTTAACCCTGAGCAGACCCTCGGGTAGGGTGGGGGGAGCCTCATGGCTGTGGGGCTGCGTTCTCTCCGGGAAGGAGTTGGCTCCCTTGTTGGGCAACATGTGGAGTCACATGTGCCTCAGACACTCATTGTTTTTGGATGACGATCTGCAGTTTGTACTTGAACTCCCATAGAAAAGCAGTAACAGATGCATATTTAAACTGTGTTTGGGGACAGTTTCTCACGTAAATTTGAAATAGCAAGTGTGGTTCACAGGATACATCCCTACGTTGGAATATAGAGGCTTATTATTACTTTTTAAAAAATAATGTGATCTCTTTAGATGAACACTCTCTTTTCTATAACTTATATCTTACATAAGCTTGTATTCATATTGCTATTTTATCACATGTGCATTTTGTTATTTTCTACTATTTATCACTCCATTCGCAGATATTTTTACGTAGACATTGCACTTAGTTACTCAGGGCTGGTTAATCGCTGTGTGGCATCTTTAAGACTCTGAGCTCACCATTCTTCCTGCCCTATAGTGGAACCAGTTTTTGTTTGCTTTTCAGGAGTTTTGAGTCTAACTCTAAAATATATTTGTGACATGTAAATGGTCCCAACTTCACATATATAAAATATAGTCTCTCTTAGATAAAAAACAGTGAGGCCCTGTGTATGTCACTTGACTGGGTATTCAAGAACAGGGACAAAAGAAAAATGAGCCATGACAAAATGTAAAACCAAGGAATTACAAACTGATGTAGGAGAAGCTGAATGTAAATCGTGTGATCAAAACTCAACAGCAGGCCGAGGGACTGAGAGGCGTGTGCGAGGAAGCACAGGCCTGTTGCCCCGCGGAAGGGGGTCTGCTCGTAGCCCTGGCTGTAGTGGCGGCGGCCAGCCCGGCTCTGCCTGTAGATCCTGAGGCCACCGGGCATCAGATGAGTTTTTGCCCCATTGTTTTCTGTCGGTGACCTGTGTGTGGTGTCGCTGGAATGCAGTGTGGAGTGCGTTCCTGTGGTCAGCTGTCCTTCCAGCCGCACCGTCTGCTCCAGCCTCCAGGCAGGTGTCTGCTCCACAGGCGCTGCCCGCAGGCCCACGCCTGCACTTTAGCCCCCACGGGGCCCTCTGTCCACACTGCTCCTTTCCTCCCAGTCTCCCTTGGAGGAAGCGCAGGCCCCGGGATGCCTGCTTGTCCCCCGGCCTGGAAGGGGGCCTGAGAGCTTCTGCCTGGTTTCCAGCACCGTCTGGGACCTCCGTGTGGCCGTGCCATGCTCTGCTCTTGGGGGGAAAATACAAGAAAAAGAAAGAAAAGAATCATTCTTGTCTTTTAGGAGTTTGCCTAACAATTGAAAAATAGAGAGAAACACGTGTGACATTGTGACACGTTTGTCGTTTCCTTCACTTGCTTCCTTGAGGAGTTTGAAAGAAAAACAAATCCTTGAGTCATGTTAAAGAACAGGAACGGTGCCTATAAAGGTGATTTTTATTGATGACAAATGGCAGTGAGATGCAGACACAAACTTGACACCTGAACAGTGGAAAGGGCGTTGCCACGCTGCCCATTGTGGCCTCCTGAGCCAGCAGGAAATGTAGGAAGAGTCACAGTCAGTTTGGGAAGATTCAGGTTTTGAACATGTTTTGTAACCAGCGTTACAGTTTAAGTTTCACCCTGGACTCTTCTTGAAACACTTTTCCCCTTGATTATCATTTTATTTCTTTTTAAGGATAAATGACCCAGTTTTCTTTCCCCAGTAAATATCAATATTTTCCACCTCAGAAGCTATTGAGCTTACACCATTGTATGGACTGGCTTTTCAAAGGCATATACCTTTGCAAATGGAAACACATTCCAACACAGCCTTTGGCTCCGTGTCTCTAATCCCGGGGATTGCTCCGGCTTTCCGGCCCTGAGGTAGACTGTGAAACGTCATGACGTTGAGGGAGAAAAAAGCAGCATTGTTCAAACCGCTTTAGAAACCCAGCAGCTTTGCACATTTCACGTCAAAGTGCGTCCGTGCACCTGAACGTCCTTAGGAAGGACCGTCTGGGAGGTGGCGGTCGGACTAGTTTTCCAGGGTTTGCCCTGATGAGCATTGGGCTTTGGACCATCGCTTAGCCTGTCTCTCACTCAGTTTGCTGCTCTATCACGTGCAGTAATAAATAATCCCCAACTGTATGCCTTTCAGAATTATAGAGAGATCATATTAATGACATGTGAATCTGCTTCTGAGAAGTGTAGTGAAATGTGTAGAAGTGCCATTCCATGCACACACACACTCACACACAGGCACACTCACACACAGGCATGCTCACACAGACACAGACACACATATTCACACATAAGACACAGACACACACACAACTCATACAGATAAACACACACACATACAGCATGCTCACACATACAACATGCTCACACACAGACGCACTCCCATAGACATGCAGACACGGACACACACAGGCACACAGTTTCACAGACACAACAATAAACAGACACACAGGTGGAGACATATAGACACCCCCCCACGCACACAGACACACATGCGCACTCACACAGACACTGAGGAGTTTGCTTACTGGGTGCACTGTTTTACTTTGTTATGAAATTTACAGGGATTGGGGTCCGATTGCCGCTAGGGTATTTTCAGACGTCACTATTATCTCCAAATGTGCTATTTCGCCCTGAGACTTGGAGGGAGATGCTCTCTCTCCATTGTGCCCTGAGCTGGGGTCCATTTCAGAGTGATATGGGACAATTACGAAGATGAAATGTTCATTTCAAAATTACTTTGAGGCGTTGTGGCATTTTCTGTGCTTTTAAAAAATAAAAAAAATATGGTTGTAGCTATAAATTTGAGAGGTGTCAGGAATGCTGTTTCCATCAAGAAAGAAAAGTCGGGCCGTATTTGAAGATGAGGACATAAGTACTTTTAAGCCCCAGAGATAGAAAATTGAGGTCTCAAGTTGAGGAAAATAAAAATTTGTTTCATGAGATTTTTAGAAAATTGTCGAAAGAGGGGGACCACCCTCGAGTTTATAGAATGATGACGTACATGGTATTTTACACAAGTATTTTTTCAACTGGGATGGCTTTGTGGTCTTAAAACTTTAAAAAAGGAAAACAGAGTGCAAAACATAGATTAATGGAACATAAATTCTCAGCATAGTTTCAGAACATCTTGAAATTCTTCTGTCTGCTATAGCGTTTATTCTGCCATGTTAAATACGTGGAACTTTTTTTTCCCCACCTCCGGGCTATTTGTTAAACGTGGACCATAAAATATGTACCATGTGTCATGGGTCCAAGTTAGCACTGCTGTAGGCTTGCTTTGGAATTTCCTGGTTTCTGAAAGCGTGATCTTTCAACTACAGTCTAGTTTTTGAACCTAAAAGTCTGGTCTTCCAGAAGAAAATGTCAACTTTCCTCATGACTTAACGGTTTTAATCTGTCATTGTTCCTTGCTAAAAAAATACAACCCCATGGTCTATTTTTTTATACAGTGCTAGTTTTTGTTATTTAAGAAAACAAGAGCTACTCCAGTTGTTCCTTCATTCACTTCCCCTCTCTGTTCTTTGTACCCTGGCCAGTGTGTCTCAGAACATCGTCCCATAACCGGAAGGTTGCAGGTTTGGTCCCTGGTCTAGTCTACAGGAGGCAACCAGTCACTGCTTCTCTTTTGCATAGATACTTCTCTCTCTCTCTCCCTCCCTCCCTCCCTCCCTCCCCCCTCTCTAAAGGCAGTGAAAAATGAAATCCTGCCCTTTGAAGGAACAGCAAGCTTGTTAACCGAATGCCTGGGGAGGTGAACTCTCAGTTCTCACACTCTCCTCCTTTTGTCCGGCGGCAGAAGGTGCCTCTGAGTCAGATGTCAGTAGACCAGCAGCCTAGGGGCAAAAAGGCTCCCGAGGGGAGCTGATGGGGTGACACTTCTGTGACCCCAGGTCCGACTGAGGCCTGGTTTTCAGCCAGCTGAGGAGGTCCTGGCACCTGTTTTCTCATGGCTGCGACGACGCAGCGCACAGGTCTCATGGTGCTTGTTACACGAGCGCCAAGGAAACTGTGGGTCGTGACGTTCATCGTCTCGTTCCCCACCCTCTGGGCTGCCGTCGCCATCTGACTGAAGGCAGCGCCTGTGACCCTCGGCCCCACATTGCAGAGCCGCCCTTTACATTCTTGCCGTGCTTTTCCATTGTGTATAATCACATTCTCTTATGACAGTGTTTCTAGTTTCCATTCTTACACGAGAACCTTCTCTTGTGGAATCAAAACCTAGCTCTTCGATTGTAATAAGTTCTGTCTTTTGACTCCCATGCAAATTTAGGAATTACATGCGTGGTGGCTCACTGGGCTCCTTGTCAGCTAGAAATACAGGGTGGGGCACCTCGCAAGGGCATTCAGAGCGTCACCTCTCAGGTGCACTACATGTCCCAGCCTTCTGAGCACCACGTTCAATGTAAATGGATTTCTGTTCTCTTGCATTCTCAGAGCTGTTATTGTGAACTTTATCTCCATCCTTAAAATGAATCTTAGATGAGTCATCCTTCTTTCCTGGGGCCCAAGTTCTACGGGGTTTTCTTAGACGATGTTTAGCCTGGGGCTTCACTAACGATCCCGCTGGGGAAGTGGCTTCTTTCTGCCTTTGGCTTCAGCCTGATGGGAGGAGCAGGGCCTGCGTGTGATAAATCGCACCCTGGGGACTCTGCACGAGTGTTTATAATATTCTTCAGGCCATAAAGGAACTTCCTTACTCCAGAGCAGTGCTGTCCAATGAACTTTCTGAAATGATGGGAACATTTTCTCTCCTGTGCTGATCAGTTCCCGTAGCCACTAGCTTCGTGGGACTATTGAGCAGCTGAACTGTGGCTAGTAAAACAGAGAAGTGAAATGCAAATGAAATAGAA